GAGATTTTGATTGTCTTTTCTAAGGAGATGGATGAAGATGGTGAGCAGCTAACATATAACTGACAACATATTCCAATGTATTTTCCACTATTCTACAGCATCATTCACCTAAAAGAGTTATTTGTTAATAGGAGTCACTGTTGGCTCCAGCATTATCCAATCAAATTATTGTACTGAAGCTTTCAGATCCTGTGAAAGTTCTGGTACATGAATATTTGGACACATCTTCCTATAGAGTTTAGTTTTGTGATAACCTGATGACCACCTGAAGTCAACTCAAAGGGAGCTGAAACAATAACTCTCATTATAATTCTGGATGTGTTACCTCATAAAGCCACTGGTTGAGATGAGAGTCTATAAATGACTAGACAACAATGTCACAACTTTTAGGAGAGAGACATTGCCTTACACCACAGTCAGTTCTTGTCACAAAGAATATAATCTAAACCTACAGATATGTGAGGGGTAGACTTTGATCTAGGCCAAATTTTATATTTCCATTGATGGATTAGAGGTTCAATTGCAAGACATTTTAGTAACCTGGCTTAACATTATGCATTATCATTCAACAGACACGACCAAATTCTAGCAAAATATAGAGACTATCTAGAGAAACACAAGAAAATCAAATATATCATTCTGGGTGAACTTTTTGAAAAGGAATTCTTAGTATCTAGCCACCCCCACAGAGAGCTGAAAATAATAAAATAGGTTTATGTTCTTTAATATTTGATTGGGTGTAATGATTTTAGCATGCAATAACACTTTATCTTTCTATTTGTCTATTTATAAAAAGCTATATTCATGGAAACAATACTTCATACCATTCATTTCTCATGAGGAAATTTGATCATTTGATGTCTATTTACTACCTTACACTTCACTCTAAATTTTGATTAATGATACTTATATCTGTTAAATAAACAAATTTCTCTACTTCTGATTTGAGTTTGAAAATACTGTTTTTTGTCTCTTTTTCAAGGATGAGTGATCAAATAATTCATGCACCGTGCTGTGTTTTCCCTTGTTTTTCTGTATTTACCATTGAAATCTTTAAAATTTCAATAATTATTAATAATAGGGAATTATTTCTGCTTAATATATAACGTAATGACATGTAACCAAACTTCCATATATGGTATTTATATAACTTTTAAGAATCTATTTTAAGTGGCTCATGTCAATTCAAACCTTAAGCTAATTTTTTTAACATTTAATATTTATTCATTTATTTCTAATTTAATACCTAACATATTTCCAAAAATGATGAAATACACCTCACAATAGAGGTCATATTAAAAATAACTATTAAAATATAAAAATAAAAGTATACAACGTAATAGGAAAACCAAAATCCTAAGCACAAAGTCAAAAAAAAAAAAGAACTGCTATAAAATTATTCCAATTTAATATAGTAATATGCTTTATACCATTTCGGTCAATGACAAATGCATATATGACATTAGTCCTGTAAGATTAGAAAGGAGCTAAAAAATTCTTATTGCCTAGTGATGTAGCCATTGTCATGTCATAGCACAATGCATTACTCATGTTTGTGATGATGCTGGTGTACACAAACCTACTGCACTGCCCGTTGTATAAAAGTATAGTACATACAAGTATGTACAATATGTAATATGGTAGGCTCTCCATATCTATGGTTCTGTATCCAAGGATTCAACTACCTGTGGATCAAAAGTATTTCTTAAAATTCAGCCAGGCACGATTGTTCATGCTTGTAATCCAAATGACTCAGGAGACTGAGGCAGAAAGATTGCTTGAGGCCAGGAGTTCAAGACCACCTGGGACAACAGAGTGAGACCCACATCTGTAAAAAACTGGAAAAAAAAATAGTTGGACTTAATGGCACGTACCTGTAGTCCCAGCTACTTTTGATGCCGAAGTGGGAAGATTGCTTGAGCCCAGGAGTTCAAAGCTGCAGTGAGCTATGATCTTGCCACTGCAGCCTGGGCAATAGGGCAAGACTCTATGTTTAAAAAAAAATTATTTTAAAAATTATTAAAAAATTATTATAAAATAATAAAATTATTATTAAAATTATATTGAACATGTAGATACTTTTTTCTTGTCATTATTTCCTAAATAATACAATATAACAACTACTTACATAGGATTTATATGTGTTAATAATTGGTGTATAAGTAATGTAGAGATGATTTAAAGTATACAGAAGGTATGCATAGGTTATATGCTAATATTATGCCATTTTACATCAGGAACATGAGCATCCACATATTTTGGTATCTTTGAGAGGTCCTGGAACCACTCCCCCATGGATAGTGAGGGATGATTCTACTTGGTAATAATAACAAATGACTATGTTGCTGGTTTAGTTTATATGTTTACTATACTATACTATTTATCATTATTTTAGAGTGTACTTCTACTTATAAAATCAAAAAGTTAATTGTAAAACAGCCTCAGGCAGGTCCTTCAGGAGGTTTCCAGAAGTCATTGTTATCATAGGAGATGACAGCTCCATGAGTATTTTCCCCCTGAAGATGAAGAACTTTCAGTAGGACGAGACATGGAGGTGGAGGACAGTGATGTTACTGATCCAGACCCTGAATAGGCCTAGGCTAATGCATGTGTTTGTGTCTTAGTTTTTCAGAAAAACATTGAAAAAGTAAAAATAATTTAAAAACATAAAAAGCTTGTAGAATGAGGATTTAGAGAAAGAAAATATTTGTATAACTGTATAATGTGTTTGTGTTTTAAGCTAAGTGCTATTGAGTTAAAAAAGTTAAAAAATTAAAAAGTTTATAAATTGAAAAATTTATACTAAGCTAAGACATTTACTACTGAAGAAATAAATGTTATTAGTGTCATCTAAGTATACGGTGTTTATAAAGCCTACAGTAGTGTACAGTAATGTCCTAGGCCTTTATGTTCACTCACTGCTCACTTACTGACTCACCTGGAACAACTTCCAGTCCTACAGGCTCCAGTCATTAAGTGCCCTGTAAACATCTATCATTTTAAATCTTTTATACTGTATTTCTACTGTACCTTTCTATGTTTAGATACACAAATACTTACCATTGGGTTACAATTACCTACAATGTCTAGGAGTATAACATGCTTTACAGGTATGTTGCCTAGGAACAATAGCCTGTACCTTATGACTTAGGCATGTGGTAGGCTATACCATCTAGGTTTTGATCTATGATGTTTGAATCTAGGATGTTTGCCCTAGGACAAAAATGCCTAGTAACACATTTCCCAGAACATGTCCCTGTAGTTAAATGGCAGATGACTATACTAAGTTTAATTTTTACTTTTACCATAGGCAAGGTGGGAGAGTATTTAAAGCAATTCCATAGTTAGAGTTCTATCATCAGCATCCTCAAAAATCTACATGGATAGGCACTCTTTAAGTAACTATAGACCTGAAGCAATTACCAGAGGTGCATTAGTTCAGAAAAAGCCCAAATAGGAAACATCCAGGGGCAGATTTTACTGTCTGAATGGGGGTTCTGGGACCTAAAAAGATGGCTTGAGAATGAGCTACTATGAAAAGGAGGCATGGTTATGGAGACAGAGGAGTCCCATGATATGCTATTTGCAAGCTATTCAGTCTGAGTCTAAAAGCCTGAGAACCAGGGGAGCCAATAGCATGATTCTCAGTCTGAATGGGATAAGCTCAGAAGTTCAAAGGCACGAGAACCAAGAGCTCTGATGTCCAAGGGCAGAAGATGGATGTTCCAGCTCAAGGAGAGAAAGAGAATTTGCCTTTCTTCCACATTTTTGTTCTATTTGGGCCCACAACAGATTAGATAAGGTCTATTCACTTTGGTAAGGGTAGATCTTCTTTACTCATTCTACTGATTCAAGTGTTAATATCTCCCAGAAAGATTCTCACAGACACACCCAGAAATAATATTTTACCAGCTATCTGGGCATCCTTTAGCCCAGTCAAGTTGACATGTAAAATTAACCATCACACATGCTCTCTCAGAACCCTGCACATGCTGGCAGGGCTATATTCTTCCTGCCTGCCTTTGTGACTCCTCATCCTTTCAAATACAATTTAATCCTTCCTCCTCTAACAAGTTTACCCTCCTATCTCTGGTGGAGTTAGTGACTCAGGTTCATATGTATACCTCCATATTAGCATTTACTGTACTGTGTTTTAATTTTTGATTTATGTCTCTATCTTCATCAAAGACGGTGTTTATAATTCTTATATGCCTGACATATAATGGATAATACATATTTATCAGATATAGATTGAATAAACAAATAAAGGACAGTTCAGCTAAATCCTGAAGACTGAATAAAATGAGAAACTTAAAGGAATGACAAGCAAAAGCAGCAGCATGTATGAAAGTCTGAAAGCATAAAAGAGCATGAGGTATACAGAAGGGAAAACACTTCCATATGGAAACTCCTAATGCTCACTTCATCACACTTCTACTAAATTCATAACCATATGGTTATGGGATTTTCTAGGAAGTGGCAGACAAAGAGGTGGGAATGCTTGATTGTAACAGACATTGTTCGTTGGTTGTCTAGTAGCCATTCCTACCCTCCTCCTTCTAACAAAACTCTTGAGTTCAAAAATTCACTTACATTTAGTCATGTGCTTCAGAAGCTGCTTAGCCCCTGGCTCAGGAGCGAAGAAGTGGGAAGGCCTGTTGTCCTAAGGCAGTCAAGGTAAGTATATTCCCCTTGCCCAGGTTAGTGTAGACGTGACCTTGTGATGCAACAGACCCTCGCAAGTAGGTGGAAGTCTAGCCATGTTCTTATGACTGGCAGATACTTTATTAATTCATGTTGGTTAGCCACTACCCACTAATTGGGATAATCTTGGGCTATTATTATTACTACTTAATAATTGTCATCTATTGAGCATGCTAGATTCTAAGCACTACAGCAAGTGCTTTACACATTTCATATATAAAAGGGCCTTATGAGCAATGTCTTTCCTGTAGTGAGAAGTTTAGGACTTAAATTCTCAACAGCCTATTTCAATTTTCATTAGCTAATCCATTTTGTTCAATAGAATCCACCACTCCTTGACCTTAGTAAGTAGAAAAGAATAAGACCTATTTATTACATATAGTAGATTAAAAACCAGAGCGAGAGAGGAAGAGAAATGAGAAATGCTATTAAACAGCTCCCTTCCCCATGTCAACCCTGATCACAAGGGTGAACATTCTTTATGATCTGGTATTCTTCCCCAAATGAATGTGGTATTGATTTTAATGAACCCACCATGGCGGAGGCTTGGCTGTTCCATGACCTCTATTTCAGTCTCATGTTATTGCTTATTGACAAACCGCTAGGGTGGAGGTGAGTCTCAGAGCATGATCTAATCCTCAAAACATGGATTATTGCAGACTCTCCTTCTAATGGGGACCAGCCCTCTTAGATTGTTCTTCCTCCAGTTCTTGCCCACAGCAATGGCAGTTTCTCACACATGTTCTTCTCCCTAAAGTAGAAAGCAGAAGGGGAAGTAAGCCTGTGTGAAAAATACCAACCAGGAAGAGGGGCCTGGCTTCCTGAACAACCTGCCCTCCTGGTAACCACTCCAGTCCCTTGAGAGTGAGACTGCATTAATCTCTCCCTTCTTGAGGGGTGGAGCCCTCATGATCAAAACACCTCTTAAAGGTCCCACAACCTCTCAACACCGTTATATTGGCGATCAAATTTCAACATGAACTTTGTGAGAGACAAACCACATCCAAACCACAGCAATCATGCAAAGCAATTTAGGTTTCTCTGATTCCTGCTTTCTAAGTTGCCTATACAATACCAAAATTTCTCAGCACAACAAAGTACATTTTTATAAAAAGGATCCATCAAAGAGAGCAGTTATGTTTATAAATACCAAAGTATTTTTCCTACATAAATGTATATGTGGGTATTTCTATTTACATCAACAGAAAGTAGCATTGACAGATTTCTTTGCATTTTAATTTGAATAATACAGAAAATACAAAAAAGTTGAAAGTTACACACAAGGTCATCACTTTGAATATTATGTGTGTGCACTGGAACACACATAGCACACACACATGCACAAAATAGGAAGCAAGTGTCTACCTCAGCTCCCATGTGTCTTAGGTATGGCCACTTTAGCAGTTTGGTGTGTTGTCAAGTTTCTCTAGGCTTATGAAGACATTTGCATATATGCCTATAAATGAATGCACACTTTTTACATGAATATAACCATGTGAAACACATTTGTCTGCAAGGGTTTTTTCCCATTAACAACATATCACCAACATTTTTCTGACCAGTATATACAGCTCATTTTCTTGTGGCTACAGAATATTCCCTTCATGAATGTAGGATGATTTATTTAAGCCATGCTTGTCATACCACCCGGCTTCCCACAACAGTTTTCCCAGTCTTTGATGGCATCTAATCTGTGATGAACACATCTTTTCTAAAATCTTTTGGCTATGTTTTTCTTATTTTTCCACATGAACTTTAGAATAATTTTTGAAAGATCAAAGAAAAACAAATGTCTCACTTAAACTGACATTATAGGAAATGTAGACATTAATTTGAGGTGAATTGGCAAGTTAAAATGCTGTCTTTCCACCCAGGAACACTTTATGTTTTTGCATTCATTCACGTTCAAGTTGTTTGATTGATTGACTTTATGTCCCTCAATAATGTTTTGTAGTCACATGAGCAACAATAAATGTTGGTATGTCAGACATGACATGCTCATGTCAGACATTAGCAACAATAAATGGGTGCTAACATGTGTCTAACGAAGTTTTGAAATTCAGCTCATAACCTAATTTATAGATTAAAGATCAAAAGAGTGGCCTTTGTGTTTCTACTTCTCAAATCATTTCATTTATTAACATTCTGCTAACTTCAAAGTCGCACCAATTATTCTCATTGTAAATATTTCATTCAATAATGCAAACAATCTAAGTTTTAAGAATGTACCTTTTCCCCTGGGAGGCTCAATAAAGCTGTTATTTTGAATGAAATGTGTCACCTAAAATATGCATAGTTTCTTTAAAAATTGGTTGTCTGCAACAAAGTTTGCTTGTCAGAGTTAGAAATCATAACCATTTTTTAAAACTTTGTCTTTAATGAAGTATCAATGAGGTGTCAATCAAGGCACTAATAAAAATTGCTCCTCCTTTTTTTACTTTATTTTTTTTTAAAAAAAAACAACTCTGTGTCCTGTATTGTTGTTTATGGTAAATACTTATTTGGAGGGAGAAGCTGGCCATTCGTATGCTCATTTCACGGCAGAATATTTTTCTCATATCTTTTTCTAGCCTCTGTATTGCTGCTATGGGAAATTTTTCTAAAATGATCTTGACTTGGAGCTAAAGAGAAGCCTAGATTTAGTTTGTTCTCCTTGTCCCCCTTACCCTAGAAAGTACAGATAATCCAGATATGTATGCCAAATAATTATTTGAAATAATAAAATAATCTAGATAATTATTCCTGATAATTTTTATCACAATATTTTGATTTTATGTGGAATGTACTTTTCCAATACTTCCACGAAAATATTTTGTTATGGAACTGGTATATTTGTGCCACTGCTCATGCATCTTGACAATAATCAGTACAGGAAACATTATGAAAGATACTTTATATGTATATAAAACTGTGTGTACGCCATAGGCAAACTAAGAATCCTACTGACTGATCTTAATATTGAAATGTTCTATCAGTCACACTTTGGCAGAAAAAGAAAAAAACACTCTGCTTGTTTTAGCAGGAAGAAATTTAATAGAAAGAATTGGACATTTAAAGAGACGTTCATAGCACTTGAAAAATAACAAAGAATGCCATTGCTGACTTTCGGAAAATCAGAAAGTGTGGGAATTAAGTAAAGTGCCTTGAAGCTCTCACTTGCCTACAGCACGGAAGCAAAGTGATTCACAGGCACTCACCCAAAAGATGCTGCGAACTTTATGTGTACAGTCTGCAGAACATCGCATCTCTTGCTGCCAGCCAGAGGGAGAAAAAAAAAACCAACTTTATTTCTGCCATTCAGATCTCTCATGACTGATCCCCTTGTTTGAATTAAACTTAACTTCTGCAGCAAAGGGGTCTGGGAAATGTAGTTTTCAGGCTTCAACCTACGAGATACAAGGAAGATCTTACAGTGCAGACATGGTGCTCAAAATCAACAGATAATATCTCACCCAAATGGGCATAAACATGATTTTTGAGATTGTAGTTTTCCATTGGAGACCTAGAAAACACATATTTATCTCATATTTGGTCAACACTGTGATTTTCAGCTTATTCAAAACTCACATGGATGTACCAGTTTGCTAATTACAAAATCCTAAATTAGTGCTTCCTCATCTGGCAGCCCCTGTTGGTATTATACTCTTAGAAATGGTGCAAAAACCCCACTTGTAACTCACCTAGAAGAACTGACTCACATCCTCTCTATTTTCATTGTTTCTCTTCTATGAAGTGAGAAAACGACTTATAGAACTTAGCTAGCAATTCCCCCAACAACAAACCAAACTAATAGAGCCTCATTTCTCTTAGGTCACATTTTTATACAAGAATGTTAACATGTTTTCCCATCTGGCAGGTGGTTTTGGATAGCTGAAACTGTCAGCTATATTGAATCATTCATGAAATTGATTTGAAGAGTTCTCTTTGTAGGAGTTCTCTTCATCTTCAAAGCCTTAATTTAGTTATTGGTGAATGGATTTCATGCAATTTTCAAAATATATTATCTGTCTCCATTTAAAGGAGCCTGAAAATTTGTATAACCTTGGGTAGGTTAGAGCAACATTATTCTAAGTGACTTTGGGAATCAGGGTCCAACAATTTTAGGCAAAATTTTCCTTTATACACCCTAATTTTCAGCTCTAGTCTCCTTATAAAATGACTCCTTCTTGCATTATAAATACTTGTTAATATCAAAATCTCCAGTGTAATCCCAAACTTTGCCTCAAAATTATTTTTCTTTTCTGTATTTAAGGAAGAATAGCAATAAATTTAGGCAAATCGCAAGCATAGAAACCCTAAAAATGCTGATACAAACTAAAAGAAAAGTGGTCACAATTTAATGTTATGTTACTTTAGATAATTTGAAGAAAATTTCCAATTTAATTATCAATTATCCAGTTTTAAATTTCTTAGAATAATGATTTTCTGAATCTGGTGGATACTCAAGAATACTTTCTATATCTATCTGAATTTTGTGAACACAATTATATGGCTTCATTAAAAATTATATCATAGAAGATATTAATAATATCAAAAGTCATTTGTGTTATTGTGACATGTTAATAGATTTCAAAATAACATATTTTGATTCCATTTTTATTAAAATGCATTGTATGCTTAGAAAAAATTTGTCTCTAGCCAGTAACATGACAGCTGATTTTAATCTTTCTGTGTTTTCTTCATTTTTTATATAACTTTTATTATTAAGTATACTATTTTCAAATAAAAGAGCCACTATTTATTTGGAAGTTTTCCCCAAAAGGGCAAATGATCCTCTTCCCTTAAATTCACATATTATAACAATTGATTTTTGACAAGTTTACATTGGATTTCTATAGAAAAATATCATCCTTCTAGCAAATTATGATGTAACAATTGTATGTAGATAAGCAAAAAAGTTGATATTTTCTACTTACATATATTTCATAAAAAAAATCATGGCTATTGTTTTATAGTTTTTTCCACTCAATACATTGTAGATATTCTTTCTCGTGAATGTGAATTGGCTTACATAGATCAATCGCATACATATTTGTTTTTGTAAAACTGCTTTATTTAGATATAATCAACATAAAATCAACTGTACATATTTAAAATAAATAAGCAACTTCATATGCTTATTTTAAAATTAATAAATTCATCTATCTCAATAATTACATTTTTAAACATTGTCTATTTTCCCTCTTTACCTAATAAATTGGTATGTAAAAAAATATTTGAATCTAATACATAAAAAGTTAGGTTACCTCAGACTTAGTATTTTCATTCTACTCATTTTAGAACTTCTTGGATTCCTCTGTCTTCATGAAGATTTTGGAGATTAAATGTTTGGGGCATTTGAGATAAGTAAGAGGTGAATGGTCATTGCAACTTCAAGGCAAGATGAAAAGGAAGAATTTTGGGTTTCTTATATCTCCTACCACAATACAAACAACTGACAGTCATATATTCTCATAGTAATCACTCCACTAATAATATTTATTTAGCACTTAAGCTATTTAAGGTAATATTTTAAGATTTATGTTTTTAACAAAATATATCATGAATACTATTATATGAATATAATTAAGAAAAAATGTTTAACTTTGGTACTATTTCTTGTACACTATCTTCATAATGAAGTAAGCAACAAACAAAAACTGTCTTCCTAATAATAGACTGAAAGGAGTAGGAAGTTAGGGGGCTTAACATTCCTACTTTTTGTTTGATTTCAGCTACAAATTGGGGGTTTTTAAAAAGTTTTAAGAAGTAAATTTAATAGCTATGCTTCTATGTGAAACCTTTCACTCTCTGCAGTTAAATTCATTATAACACAATATTGCTTTTAGTGATAGTCTCTTGGAGACTTTAAATTGTTTAGAAATATACAACTTCAACAAAACACTGTTTGGACGAATATGGGGAAGTTAAGATAAATAGACTGTAAGTTTCATGAGGGAAGGCTTGCACTATGCCATCAGAATCTGGTACATTGCAGGTGGCCAGGAAATAAGAATTCAAAGAACAAAGGTTAGGATAGCTCAAAGTCAAGCATAATGTCTCCCATTACTGGGCATCGACCCCAAAGAACAAAAGACACTCTATTAAAAAAAGACATCTGCACTCAAATATTTATAGCAGCACAATTCACAATTGCAAAGATGTGGAAACAACTCAAGTGCCCATCAATACACGAGTGGATTAAGAAAATGTGGTATATGTATACCATGGAGTACTATTCAGCTATAAAATCAATGGTGATATAGCACCTCTTGTATTTTCCTGGATAGAGCTGGAACCAATTCTACTAAGTGAGTATCCCAAGAATAGAAAAACAAATACCACATGTACTCACCAGCAGATTGGTTTCACTGATCAACACCTAAGTGGACATATAGGAATAACATTTATCAGGTGTCAGGCAGATGGGAGGGGGGAGGAAGGGATGGGTATATACATACATAATGAGTGCAATGCACACTATCTGGGGGATGGACACATATGAAGCTCTGACTCAAGGGGGGAGGGGGGAAAGGGCAATACATAACCTTAGCATTTGTACCCCCATAATATGCTGAAATAATAATAATAATAATAAAAGCATAGCTTCTCAGCTAACCAGCTGTGTGTTAGCTTAGGCAAATCACTTGCTATTTCAAACATCATTTTCCTCCCATGTTAGGAAAAACTATTAAAACTATTCCAAAAAATTGAAAAGTCAGGAATATTTTCAAATTCATTCTATAAGAAGAATGAAACTAAACTCCCATCTTTCACTATATGCAAAAATCAACTCAAAATGGATTAAAGACTTAAATGTAATAAATGAAGCTATAAAACTACTAGAAGAAAACACTGAAAAATACTTTAGGACATTGGTTTTGGCAAAGATTTCTTGAGTAAGATCTGAAAGTACAGATAACCAAAGCAAGAATGGATAAATGGTATCACGCCAAGCTAAAAAGTTTCTGTACAGCAAAGGAAACAGTCAAAAAAGTGAAAAGACAACACAGATAATGGTAGAAAATATTCACAAACTATTTATCTAACAGGAGATTAACAACCAGAATATATAAGGAACTCAAACAACTTAATGGCAAAAAAAAAAAGAAATCCAATTTAAAAATGGGCAAAAGATCAGAATAGATATTCCTCAAAAGAAGATATACAAATAGTCAAAAGGTATATGAAAAAAAGTGTTTAACATCACTAATCATCAGGGAAATGCACATCAAAACTACAGTAAGATATCATCTCTCCCTAGCTAAAATAGCTCTTGTCAAAAAGACAGAAAATTACAAATGTTAGTGAGGATGCAGAGAAAGGAAAACACTCCTACACTGTTGATGGGAATTACTACAGTCACTATGGAAAACAGTATAGAGGTTTCTCAGAAAACTAAAAATAGAACTACCATATGATTCAGCTATCTCACTGCTAGGTGTATATCTAAAATGAAGAAAATCAGTATATTGAAGATATATATGCACTTCCATGTTTAATGTATCATTATTCACAATAGCCAAATATGGAATCAACCTATGTGGCCATCAGTGGATGAATGGATAAAGAAAATGTGGTACATATACACAATGGAATATTATTCAGCCATAAAAAATGACATCCTGATATTTGAAGCAACATGGATGGAACTGGAAGATATTGTGTTAAATGAAATAAGCCAAGCACAGAAAGACATATATCACATGTTTTTACTCATATGTGGGAGCTAAAATATTGATATTATGGATGTAGTAAATATTAATGGAATGGTAGTTACCAGAGACTGGAAAGGGTGTAAGGGGGGGAAGGATGAAGAGAGGTTGGGTACAAAAATGATATAAAAAAAAATAAGCTGTAGTGTTTGGTAGCACAGTAGAGCAACTATAGTTAATAATAATTTACTGTATATTTCAAAATAGCTAGAAGAGAAGAATTGGAATGTTTCCAACACAAAGACATGATATATGTTTGAGATGATGGATATCCCAATTACCCAAATTTGATTATACATATTGTATGCTTCTATCAAAATATCCAATACATCCCATATATATATATATATATACACACACACAATTATGTATCCATAAAAATTAAAAATAAATACCATGTGCAGTTATTATTCATTTTATGCCATGATATTTTCTTACTGAAAACAAAAACTGTGAGATATCTTTATGCTTTTAGAGAAACCTGTAGAAAGTTGCCTTGCAGTATAATTTCTGTTACCTCAGACACAATCCTCAAGACTGTGTTCTCAACTGGATTTGATTAAAGCTACATTTTTAGTGTTTCTTTGTTTAGCTTGAACTAACCACACAGGCACACTTAAGGCTGTTTCCAAATACTGTCTGCACAAAACACTCTTCTATGCAAAACCTGCACTCCCAATTGTGACCATATG